GCTGTGAATCAATTTCACAGCCAAATTATCCCAAGTCGGGGTTTTGTTTTGCCAGTAAACTGAGCTCGTTAAACGCAATACCTCGTGAAAAGCAGGAAGGCAAAGACATAAATAAAAATATTTCCTACGGAAATATGGTTTTTTATGCCAAGCCTGAATTATAGTGATAAGATAAAAGTAGGAAATAGTTAGATTGGATTGTGGCAGATTAAGGTGGGACTTGGCGGAGAAGGAAATTCTGGTGCTTTTACCTACGTAAGAAACATTAAGTCAAGGCCAAATTTTAGCTACTAAAAGCAAAGCAAAGTTATTCACTTCTCAATTCAACCTTTCTCGTGATCGAGTGAAGACATACGAATTTTCTTCCCACCTCCTCCCGCTGGCCTGCCGCTTTGTATTTTAGTTTGTTGTCTTTTCTTGTACATATCATTATTATACCTTTTTTGCCTAATTGGCGTGTAGTCCTGCCACCTTTACTGGCAATGAACATTAACAGACTCAAGTTATTAACTGAAATTATCAATTTTAATGATTTTATGATATTTCTAATTAAATGACGAGATTTTAAATAAAGCGGCTGTGAATCAATTTCACAGCCAAATTATCCCAAGTCGGGGTTTTGTTTTGCCAGTAAACTGAGCTCGTTAAACGCAATACCTCGTGAAAAGCAGGAAGGCAAAGACATAAATATATTTATCAAGTTTTTACCATGGTTATTTTGATATTTACCCTTTATTTTTTATTTAATCGATGATCGAGTAAGACTATGTTCAGTTTACGCTCTCTCGGGACAAAATATGGAGCACATTTTCGCAGTTAAAGTTTGCCATAGATTGTTTATGTGCATTAATTTATTATTTATTTGGGTAAGACGTTGAAGTTTTTGCTATTTAAACGGCCATAAGTAATAAACAGACAACTCCCGTACCCGTTTGACGTTTACGTGTAGATCTTGGTTTACCGCGGGTTTACGAAACGGGTAGAAGTTACGGGTAAAAATGCTGACATCAGCAAAAATTGGTAAACAAAATGGCGATACTCGTACCCGTAAACCGGAACCGGTGTGTCTAAAGGCGGTTTTCCACTAGGCGAAATTTTTCGACCGAATCGAAATTTCTCTTTGCTTCATGAGCTCTCGAGCAGAACTAATTGTAAAAAGACAAAGAAAAATTTCGTTTCGGTCGAAAAATTCCGCCTCGTGGAATCAGGCCTTTAACCTCTCTAGTAAGGAAAATTGCCACACGAGGTTTGTTTTTCTGTCTAAGCCAATCAAAATCCGTATCTAGGGTAAAAAGACACTCCGGAAGTGCATCCATAGTTGGCCGAACACTTTTCGACCACGAGAATCGCCATAATAGGCATAGATATTTTGCAATTTCCCGAGACTGCTCCGAGCTATAGAATGCAAGATGGCGATTCTTTTAGTATATTTCTCTTTATTGTCAACCTCGTTCCCAGGGCTTTTCCCTTTTTGTCACTGGGAAGGCGGGAAAAGGCCCTAGCACCGGCCGGTCACATGACTTTCAACACCCAGATATAGTGGGTGTAATAAATTATAATAATAATGAATTAGAAAATCCAAGAATGGCCGCCAACGTAAGAGTGTCCACAAAATTTAAGTGCTTAGAGCGGCTTAAAAATATGTTTAGTCTTTGAAATTTTTCCTTCTTTTTGCTACCGACGTACGCGAAATCAAATTTTCAGCTTTTATTACATGGGAACTATGTAGTTGCTGTTCTTCCAAATGGGTTTGGTAAATATCGTTCGTTCGCTAAACAAAATTAACAGCCAAAATTATTATAGTATTACGACAGATGTTCTCCAGCTGGACAGGCTTGTTTAAGAGGACACAGAAAGTGTTTTGAACTGGGGATGTTAAACTTGGTTTTACCCTTCCAAAGACTCTGCTATGCGACGATTGGAGGGAGTTTATGAGGAATATTTTATACAGTGATTCAAAGAAATGTACTGATCTATTGTTGAATGTCACTTATGCACCTATCAATGTTAACCCCCAGAGGGGGGGTTCGGATATATGTGGGGTATTTGATCATCAATTGCAACCCCACCCTGGGGATTTTGAGTAGCATTTTGGCCCCGAGTTGGGGCATTTTGAACCAAATGACTTTTATTAATATAGTATTTATTGCAAAATGGTGGGTATTTGACCAATATTTATTGCCCGACGGTGGGACATTTGATTGAAAATTTGTTAAAAAAATCAAAGGCCCCACCTATGCCCGACCCCCCCTCTGGGGCTTAACATTGATAGGTGCATTATATTATAAAGTGTCGATGGTTGGAATATTTATTCATTGATATTTTAAACACAGATGAAGAGCTATGTGCCCTTCCCTTGTTTACGTTTTCCTTGCAGCCAAATGCTGTCGAAGCTGGCAAGCTGCAAAACGGACATATGAGTGATATGACCCAAATATTGGATATGCATCTTAGTTTGCTTCCAGTAAAATGTAAACAAGACCTTAAGAATTCTATATGAGATAAGAAATATTACATTTAAAATCATGACTGGCAAATTAACATGTGCAAATTGATGTTTCCGAATAATAGTATGTACTCCAGTAAAGCTTGCTTGCTTCAATTCTTGCTGTTACCATCTGCACATTATCAGGGTGGAGAGTTGATTTGAATATTTTGTCCCAGGACATAAAGGTAGGGAATAGATTTTCCATCACAAAAGGAGCAAGGTGCCCAACCAGTTAGAAAATGTACTTTAAGTGACCATTCATTATACCCTAGGGTGGGTGGGCAATTCTTATGTCAAAATGTCATGGGACACCTTTTTTAATCTCTTAATTTAATAATGGAGACCCCTCCTAAATATTTAAGACTATATAACATGATGCAATTCTAATCTTCATTCATGTGAATGCCTAGCTATGAAAAAAATACATTTTGAAACTGTGGGGGAGGGGGGGGGGATGTGCTCTGCCAGCTCTGGTGCAGAGTTGTGT